AGCCCGGAGGAGGAGAAGGGCCACGAGGAAGGAGCGCATCGCCGCGCGCCGCCGCCGCATCGCCGCGCGCCTCGACGCCAGGCGCCGGTGAGAAACGGGCCGRACGGGGCCCGCGCTGCCGGCCGCGCCCCGGGTCCTGCCCCCGGGTCGGTACGCGGCCAGGGAGGGCTCCATCCCAAGCGCTGCTGGGTGCAGGTCCCCCCTGAACCGGCAGCCGGCCGGTTCCTGTGCCCGGATACCCCAGTGATACCCCTGGGCACAGGGGGCACCAGGGCAGTGACCTCCCGGATCAGCCCCCGCCAGTGACACCCCCAGACCGGTAGCAATGGGGCAGCCCCCCCCTCCGAGCCCAGGCTTAACTGGGATCCTTCCCTGTCCCCCCACYCTGATGGACTGAACCTCCCCAAGCAGGACCTAGGTCATGATCCCATCTTACCCCAGACCAGGCTTGGAGACCTCCCTGGGGCAGGATTTTACCCTAGAACCCCCCTTTCCTGGGTCTCAACCAGCGCCACCCCCTCTCCTTTGGCTTCCCCCGTCCAGGGAAGCCCTTGGAGAAGATGCAGAGACAAAGACGACCGAGGAGGAGGAGAAGGAGCAGAGAGGAAGCCACAAGCAGATCGAGGAGAGCAGGCAGGTGCGGCGCCAACCTAGGAAAGTCCTCACAGCTCCTTGGCCCGGGACTTTTGGCTTTGCCCTCCTTTTAAGAGTAATGTCACACGGCAGCATTTGCGTGGAGACCGTCACTGACCCAGCCTTGGGCGGGASGTGGTTCTCGGGCTGTGGTTTCCCGTGGCCAGCGTGCCGCCAGTCGGAGTTTGGGTGGTGGGATGGCTGCYCTCTCCTTCGCAGAGGCTGGCCAAGCTGCTCTTCGAGGGCACGCAGCTGGTGACCAACATCCAGGTGGCTGCGGACTGCAGGGAAGCGCAGAGGAGGACGGAGGAGGCCGAGCTGAGGCTGCAGAGGTGAGGGGCTGTGCACGGGGTCTGTGCTCTTGGGAGGACGTCCACGCTGCTCCCTGAGCMCCTCCTTGGAGGGACATCCCAGCTCTCACCACGCAGCAACGCTTTGGTAAACCTTAGGACTTAGCACTCTGCTGAATTTATGTTCAAAAGCAAAGAWATCAGGCCAAAAATCACATCCTGACACACATTTTGGCCAGCTGACTCTTTGCAGAGCACCCCAAGCCAAGGTGGCTTCAGGAGGTGGCACCGCTGTCCTACTGCTGGTTAGCAGTGTCCTCCAAACCCATCACATCTTCACCTCTACATCACGAGAAGCATCCTAGGCTCTCRGCTTCCCACCAGGAATGCTGCAACACGTGCAGCTAATCCAGAGGTTTGGCCTGGCTGCCCTCGCTTCTCGTTTGCCACCGAGCTCCGCTGGACTCGGGGCACGGAGGAGGTGGCACTGGGGGCAGTGAGAGGGGGAACACGCCACCCTGCACTAAAAGGGGTCTCAGTGAATAACCCATGTCCCAGCTGCAACCTAATGCCACGTCCTCTTGGTTGGGTGATCCAGTTGGTCAAGGATGTCCCCTAACACCTCATGCCACCCTGCACTAAAAGGGGTCTCAGTGAATAACCCATGTCCCAGCTGCAACCTAAGGCCACGTCCTCTTGGTTGGGTGATCCAGTTGGTCAAGGATGTCCCCTAACACCTCATGCCACCCTGCACTAAAAGGGGTCTCAGTGAATAACCCATGTCCCAGCTGCAACCTAAGGCCACGTCCTCTTGGTTGGGTGATCCAGTTGGTCAAGGATGTCCCCTAACACCTCGTGACGTGTGGTTTCACCTAGAATGGACAGAAAAAGAAGTGATGGTCCTGGAATGATGGTGTGTGTGATGCTGAGTGTCCCTGTCTGTGGTCTGAAGCACCCCAATGAATGACATGATTAACCTGGAGCCACTTCTCAAACTGTTTAAAGACAAGCTCTGAATTAAGAGCAAAGAGCAAATCTGGAGCCACAAGGAGGTCCAATTGGTCAAGACTACCTGCAGAGGTTGCAAATTGCAGGAGGTCATGGGGCGTCACAGCCCGACCACTACGTCCTGGGACCTTCTGTTTCCAGAGGTTGCCCTTTGGTAGCTGAGATAAGGGTAGTTATTAACCACGTCATGAGGATGTGCCAGGAGACCCTCGCCAGGCTGCCCTGTGTGAGGAGTGAGAACTTGGGGCTCTCCTAATCTGAGAAATTGGATATCGAGACATTCACAGTGAGAGTGGCCAAATCCTGGGACAAGGGCCCGCGATGCTCTGGAGATGCCCAGAATTTGCCTGGACAAGGTCTTGCACGACCTGCTCCCATGAGGAAGCTGCGAGCAGGAGCCTACGTATTCCAGGGACCCTTCCAGCTTCAGTCATCCTCCGATTCTGAGCTGAGCTCTCCCAGGGGAGTGTGAGTTGTTGGTGAGTGCAGCTCTGCCAGGGAACACGGAGTCCTAAAATCCCGGAACCGTCAAGATTGGAAAAGACCTTCAAGAYGATCGAGTCCAACCGTCCTCGCTCCTGTTTGCCTTTGGGTGGCACTGTAGGAACAGTTTGCAGGAGCCTGGTTGTAGCAGGCTGCCTTCCCTTGCTGGAATTCCCGCTGGGAATCCTGTTAAGGAAGCAGGCGCTGGGCTTGGAAACGAGCTCCTAGAGCAGGTTTGGGGGTCATGGGCTGGAGGACGTGCAGCGTCTGTTCCTTGGCATGACTTTAGCACACACGGGTGAGTCCTGCCCCATCCCCAAGCAGGGGTTAGCCCGGGACAAGGACCGTCCCCAAGGCAGTGTGGATGGGCCCCTCCTTGGAAAATAAGAGTGTTTCSTCATACAGACATGGGTTGCTCTGCAGCACTTGGCTTTGGCGCTGAAGGAAGGTCCTTGGGCAGTTTGATATCCTAGTTAGATGCAACCAGGAGGCTGTTGGGCACCACTTGTCCAACAGCTCTTGCCAAGAGATGGCAAGAGCTCTTGCCAAGAGGCTCATGAGGTAGAAAGACCAGGAAGACCAGAGGTCCCTGCAGAGGTGACCACAGTTTGGCTGAGCTCTTTTCTCCCCAGGTAAGTGGTTGTAAGAGCCTTGGGCAGGGGCAGAGCTGGGGTCCTGCAGGCCCGTCCCTTCAGACAGGATCTGCTGCCTCTGCCATCAGTGCTGCGAGCGTGTGGAGCATCGGGGTGGACGCTGTAGCTGGGGTTACAGGAGAGGTGCTGGCCCAAAGAGGTCTTTGAGGAATTCAAGATGAGTTTCACAGGAAGATGCTCCTGTGGTGCTGGATGTGGCCTGGGCATCGGGCCGTGGCTGCAGCAGCGGTGCTGCCTCCTGTCCCCCTTGCATTTGTGTTGGTCTCCCTCCTGTCCGCAGGGTGGAGAGGCTGGAGAATGAAGCCAAGACCGACGCCTGCAAATTTGAGGAGATCGCCTCCAAGTGGACCTTGGCCAAGGAGAAGACAATCCCGCAGGAGCTGTGGGAGCTGCTGAACCAGCAGCAGCGGCAGTGCACGCTGCTCCTGGAGGAGAAGAACAAGCTCATCGGGGAACTGCGGCAGGTCGCGTGGGGCCGGGCAAGGACGGCCAGGAGGGGCCACCTCCGCTTTGGGATGGGATCCTCGGGTTCCCAGGGATAGACGTGTGTCCTGGGGCAGTAAGGCCAAGTGGCAGGTTCCTCCACAGCAGGAAAACAGYGAGATGAGCAGAGAGGAGGAGCATCTCTAGAGGGAAGTGGTCTTCCCCACAGCGTGTTCTTGACTCTGTGGCCCTTCACCCTCATCATCTGCTGTACTTGGGAAGGGGGATGTCTCAATTAGTCTCTGAGGATTTCTGGCAAAATACTTCTTCACTTTTGGCCTCTGCTCTTCTCTTCCAGGAGCTGCAAAGCAAAGATGAGCAATACGTGTATGCCCTGAAGAAGCAGTCGGATGATATCCACCTCCTTTCGGAGCGAATGGAGGAGCAGATCAGGAACATGCTGAAGAACTATCGTCATGAGCTTCTGCAGATTGAGGTAGCCAACGAATTTGTTGGAGAAAGAATCCGATGGGAAAACCGGCACCCACTTTCTCCATATCTCCCACAAAGAAGCCTCAGGCTCATTGCACAGGCTGCCGTCCAGAGCAGTAGGCCTGAGGTCTTGTATGATGCTCCATGTGAAAGCTCTTGCTCCGTGATGGCTGGTTATTCTTCTCTCTAAAAGCTATAAGGGAACACAGTGGTTGTTTGGCCTGGCTTTCTGCAGAGCACGGGCCAGAAGGTCCCACTGCACGAGTCACACCTACAGTTGTTGTTGAAGCAAGGGCCTCTCTCCCTCTTAATGTCATGTCCTCCTAGGTGAAATCAAGTGTGTGATCAGGTTCCTCTGCTGATCACTGGAGAATGATTTCCAGTGAACTTGAAGAATTACTGACCCACCAGAGCATCCGTCTCGGCTCTGGTGACTKGTAGCAGCAGTGTAAGGTCTCCACTGGTGGGGTCCTGGGAAGGGGTCGGGCCAGTGCTCAGGAGATAGCAGCAGTCTGGGCTCAGTCCTGTCCCGACAGCTACTGGCCCAGAGTGCTGCAGAAGCAGGAGCTTGTGATGCTGAAGGGCTCTCTTGCCTTAACAGAAAGCGTTTGAGCTGGAGCGCCAAGAGCTGCTGGACGACAATAAGAAGAAATGGGAGGAAGCCCTCCAGGCCCACAACGCACAGGAGGTAACGTGGTTTGTAGCACGACCAGCGTTGCTGTCCAGCACGGAGCCACCTCCAAAGACACCGTGTGCTGGGCCCTCAGGGACCTCAGCTGGGACCTCAGCTGCCCCCAGGCAGCTGGGTCCTCAGGAGCACGCGGGGCAGAAGGGCACATTTGCCGCCCACTCTGCCTGGGAATTCTGTGCGTGGCTTTGCTTACAGAATCCCAGGATCCCAGGGTGGCTGAGGCTGGAAGGGACCCCCAGGGATCCCTGCCAGGGACACCCAGAGCACGGGGCACCCGGGCGCATCCCGGCGCGCTGGCAGATCTGCAGAGCAGGAGCCTCCGCAGCCTCCCTGGGCAGCCTGGGCCAGGGCTCGGGCACCCTCCCACCAAACAAGTTCTTCCTCACGGCCACATGGAGCTGCCTGCGCTGCAACCTGCACCCACTGCCCCTTGGCCTGCCCCTGGCCACCACTGAGAAGTTTAGGTTGCCCTGAAGTTGGATCCTGGGGGAAAGCTGTTACTGCTGGTGGATGAGACTCTTGCTGTGCCCACAGCTGGAAGACCTGGCTGCCCGTATGAAGAAGGTGGAGGAGTTTGAGAAGCAGTTGAATCAGCTGCACGTGCAGGGCGTGGAGGAGTATAACACCATGAAAAGCCAGCTGGAATCTAACGTGCAGGTCCAGAAAGGGCTGGGTACCGCGTGGGAGGGCAGTGGAACAGACCCCCTGGGTTTTTCCATGCGTAGCTGGCTGCAGAGAGCAGCTGGATGGTCGGAGAGCCACAAGTGGTATCTGGCCACCTTGGCTCTTTAGTAGACACAGCGCAGCCCCATGCCACAGGAGCTGTTGTTCTCTCCTGCCCATGTCACCATACATCACTGTCTGCCTGCCCTTGGCCCCCAGGCACGTAGCACAGGAGCTGTGGCTTTGGGACACATGAAGCAGCTGGGAAGGTTGTGGGGTTTGCTGCTTTGGGCATCATGATCACTAAGCTGAACTTTCTCAAGACCAAGCCATGTCAGACCAGCCTTGTTTCCTCTTTTGTCAGGGTCTTGGGAGATGGCAGGCCTAGGAGATGGGAGCTTTTTCCTCTGATGTCTAGCCAGGGACCCATGACTTCTCCAATACCTGTGATCACCACTTGGTTTTACTGTTTGCCCAAGCCTGCRTGGCAGAAATGGGACATGTTCCTGGACTTCAGGGAGGCCCATGATATTTTCCATGCTGTACCTTCAGAAGAAATCCTGGAAACATGGGCTAGAAACAACCTGCAGAAGGTTTTGCAGTGGGATGTAACTGTGCCCAGGTCCCCGTCAGGCTGGAAGGGCAAATTCARTGGGACGATCCTGAGCCTGCAGTTCCTTCATCTTCATCCTGACAACGTGGAGGGTGACAGAGCACGTTTAACATCCACAAATTGCCCGCGGGAGGGAGGCAGCAGCACTTTGGGGATCAACGGTCACAAAGGGAAATGTGGGGCTGTTGCCCAAATGCACCTGACGTCTTCAGCTGTAGCTGGGGGAACTCTGTACACGGGTTCCTCTCCCCTTGTGCCTGTGTCSAGCTTGGCAGGAACTAGAGGAGATGGGAGAGGGCCTGGAACAGGCCAAAGGGAGTCRGGATAAATGACCCATGAGAAAAGGCTGAAAGTCGGAGGCTGTTTAAATCGGGGAAGAAATTTCTGTGCGGAAGTGATAAGTCTTCAACTACACATGTATTTAAGGAGAATGGTCTCTTCTTTGTGTCCACTGTAGATGCAAGAAGAAATCATTGGTTTGCGTTGGGGCAGAGAAAATTTAAACTGAGGTTCAGATTTAGGTTTGAGGTGTTGAGACTTCATGCAAGGAAGACATAGAGAGGGCAAGGGCTTGCTGGAAGCGGGCTTTGGTGCACGGYTTTGGATGTAGCCTTGATCAACCTCTACAGACCCCCCAGCAGAGCTCTGCATTGTAAGATTTTCAGGGTCAGACTTGTGCACTATCGTCTCTCACGTGTGGGAGACACTCAGACTAGTGAATTAAACCTGGATGCTACCGCTGATGCACGTGGACCTGCTGCCTGTGAGGCCTGTGGCTGGGATTCTGCTCGTCACGTGCCCGTGTGTCCCCCTGCACTTGTTCCTAGTGGCCTTTAGGGCTGTCCTGCGTGTCCCTTCCTCCAGCTTCCCTCCAGCTCCAACTGATAAGAGGGCAGAAGTATCAGAGTCACGTAGCTCCTAAAACAGCATGAAAATGAGCAGATAGGTTGAGGAGAGAGGCCCTAATTAGTGTCCCACTGCAGAATTGCTGAGGGCAACTTCAGTCCCATCCCCATTTTGAGGCACCATGGACAACCAGCACCTCCATCCCTCACCTCAGCTCCAGAGCATGCCATGAGGCCCACGTGCATGGGAGCTGGAAGAAATGTGCGTGGGAAGAGGGGATTGGGGGATGTAGGATCAGTAGGTTCCAGGCTTCGGGATGGCCTTTGTTCATGGCCTTGGTTTTATGCTCTTTGAAATGCCAGACCTTGGAGGAGCAGCTCCAGAAGGTAAAAGCCACCTATCAGCTGAACCAGGAGAAGCTGGAGTACAACCTTCAGGTGCTCAAAAAGCAAGATGAGGAGAACACCATCATCAAATCCCAGCAGAAGAGGAAGCTCAACAGGTAAAGAACAGTCTCTTTTCAGGGCTCTGCCTTATCAGCTCAAGGACCATGGCTAGGCCTTGGTGCTGGGTCATCACTGGTAGATAGGTAGCCCCAAGTCCCAAAGCCTTCATACAAGCTGGGTATGTGCTAGGAGTCCTCCTCAGAGATCCCCAGCCTCATTCTCCCCTTCCAGGCTCCACGACGTGCTCAATAACCTGAGAAGAAAACTGGCCAAACAAGAGAAGCAGCTCAGGGAGGAGAACCAGAACCTGGCAGCCGACTACGAGCGCATCGTGGTGCAGTGCAAGGAGCTGCAGAAAATGATGAGGTGGGTTTTGTGTGGAGGCCTGGCCGTTCACCCACCACGAGACTTGACCTCGGGCCTCAGAGCAGCTCAGCAAGGCACGGAGAGAAGCTGCCTCGTTGCTCTGGGCCATGGAGGTCATTTCCATGGGGTGTCTCCCTTTGCACAGGCATTTTGCTGCCAGCGACGCGGAGAAGTTCACGGAGGTCTGGCTCATGAATGAGGAGGAGGCCAAAGGGCTGATACGCAGAGCCTTCGAGGCGGACCGCATCATCCACACGCAGCAGCTGGGGCTGCCCTGGGAAGAGCCTCGCTACTGGTTCCTGAACAACACCGGCCCCCTCAAGGACTACGAGACCAAGAGCTCTGCCTCCAAGCTGGCCGCGGAGCTGCTGGCAGGTGGGACACAGAGCCTCGGTGTCCCCGTTGGGGCTGGCGGACCCTCCCATCCTCTCCGTCACTCCTTTCTTTGCCGCTGCTTGGAGGAGGAGGCTAAGACACAGAGGGGTTAAGGGACTACTGTCACCTGCTCGTGCTGGTCAGAGCGCCCTGCTGGACCACGGTAAATCCCCCTTATGCAGAGCTGGGGGATGTCACCAGCCACTCGAGGCCAGGCCAAGGCTGGTGCGTGTCCCGCTCGTGCTTGGCCTCGTGTTCCCGTTTATGGAAGCACTGGGAGAGCCGGTTCGCAGCCTTGTCAGCCTTCCTAGACCTCAAGGCACAACTTGGGGTTCCCCTCGTGACGGACTGGCATGGGGAGCACCATCAGAGCACCAAGACCCTTTGCTCACCCTTCTTGCTCTGTGCTCCAGRGAGCAGCTGTGGGGGACAGGAGGAGGAAGGAAGAGAAAAGGAGAAGGAAGAAATGGCCAGTGGAGAAGGAGGAAGTGAGAACSCCGAAAAGGCTGAGGATCAAGTGGCACCTCTGCAAAATATCTCCAGGAAGACGGCCAAGAGGATCCTGGAGCTCGTGAGCGATGAGTCGGTGCGTGCAAGGTGCAGCATAAGCCTTGAGCAGGCCCAGAGCAGCCATGGGGACGAGGTGTCTGACTGCCCCTGGGGACACGTGGTGGTCCAGGCTGTGTGTCCCTTCTCCAGGGACACTCAGGGACTTCGAATCAGGAGGTTCTCGTGGCCATTGCTGCGCTGATGTACTGACAAGTGCCAGATCCTTCCCTGCCCTTGCAGCCCTTCTTCACCGAGGCACCGAGGGTGCTCACGTCTTTCCTGCCCGTTCCTACTGGGTGCCTCTTGCAGGCTCTCCTGGCTGGGGATGGACATCCTCACGCCACCCAAGCTCTGCTGCCCTCTCCTTCCCAGCCTGCAGCTGTAGGAAGGCACAGGGTGGCACTGGGTGGCACTGGGTGGCTCTCCCAGCTCGCCGTCTGTTTCCCTGCCTGTTGGTTGTGCTGGGCACAACTGGAGATGTTCACTATTTATGTGTTCCCTTTTCTCTGCCTTATCTCCCAAGGGCTTCCTCATTGAGAGCAAACTGCTGAGGCTCCTGCAGCCGCTGGGCAAGCACGAGCGCACCCTCGTGAAGCTCGACTCCATCTTTGCTGTGAGTAGGGGCTTGGCCCGGTCAGGACTATGGGACTTTCCTGGGACAAGGCCAGGGATGTCCCAAATGGCCCCAAATGACCCAATGTCCCAAAAAATGGTCCAAAGAAATGGCTGGCTGCATTACAGGAAGGACAGGTATATGTAAGCAACAAGACTTGGTTCATCTAGAGGAGACAGGAATGGCCTTCGAAGAGGCAAAATTGCACGAGGAGAGAGTGTCACCTCTACCCTGTGTCCATGTGGATGGGACAAGGGATATTTAGCTGTCCAAGGGATATTTGGCTGAGCTGTTGAGGAGCCAGCCTCCGAATGACCTTCCCTTCCATGGAGGGGCACCCACTTCTGCAGGGAAACGTGTTTAACTCCCCTGCTGTCTCGGAGGGACCCTAACCGGCCTCTTCTGCTCCTCAGGCCCTCGAGATTGACAGCGAGGACGACCTGTACGAGCTGGTGGATTTCTTCCTGAAGTACAGAGCCCAGGACGTGACCGTCACGCAGGTGGGACGGAYGGGGACAGTGGTGGGGAGAGCCCGGCAGAGCAGAGGGCCCAGGAAGGAGGGAGGAGAACATCTCCTGAACATGCAGGGAGGACAGGGGACAGCGCAGCACAGCAACCTAAAGTGTCTGTGTGCATCTAGACCAGGGAGGTGAGCAGAGCCACGGCCGCCCACCCTTGCAGACTGCTCTGGTGTGGGGTCCCAACAAAGGCACCCAGCCCCAACCCATCCCCGTGCAGGGACAGGAGCTGCCTTGGGGCAGGGCCGCCCCGGGACACTTTGGAGAAGCTCTGCTTTGGAGCSTGGGTAGAAGAGCGTGGCCAGGGCCAGCCCCGCTCGGGGTCAGGGAGGAGCCCTGCTGCAGGGGCGCTGCTTGACAGAGAGGGAGCAGAACTGATCCCAGCAGGGAGTTTAAACGAGACCACGATGTTTGGGGAGGAGGTTTGTGCCCAGGCTATGCCAGCTGGCCTCCAAACCGGAAAACTTCCAGCTCCCAGGGGCAGGCAGTGCGTGGGAAGGGCGCAGTGCTCATGGTGCTGCCTTCCCTTCCCGAGCCAGGCTGCCCAGGAGAGCCCRGCCAGGCAGGATGCCGCGGATCCGGCCGCAGACACAGCAGAGGATGGCTCGGGTTCCCAGAGGTGCGAGCTGACGTCCCCGCGGGGCTCGCTGCACTCCCTTCCACCCACGTACGTCCGTGCCGACGACATCCTGAGGATCCTCAAGGCTTTCGTGCGGGATTTTGACAAGCTGAGGTGAGACCGGGAGCAGGGCGCGATGCCAGGGACGGAGCCGGGCTGGGAGGCTGCCACCCTTGTGCTCATTTGTGTGATGACGGCAACAGTGCTCAGCGCAGCGGAGGCGCCCAGGGTTGCTCCTCACCCATGCAGAGCTGAGCCTGGAGCCCCACAGCTTTCCCCTCCGTCCCTCAGGGGGAAGGACCATTCGGCGAAGGAWTCGCTGCGGGGCCGGGACAGCTCCAAGGACGCCGAGTACTGGGACGCGCTGGCACACGCCATCCCCGAGTCCAAGCTGAAGCTTTGGGACGCGCTCCTGCTGGCGCTGGAGCGATACCAGTGAGTGCCTGGCAGGTGGGGAGCTGCACGGGGGCTTTGCTGGGCGCTGCTAACAGGACCCTTTCTGCACAGCGGGGTGCTGGCGCAGAGGGCCGCCCTGATCAGCGAGGTGGCTGCGCTGCAGCAGCAGAACTCGGAGCTCTGCCTGCTCCTGGAGCAGTACCTCGCTTCCAAGGTGAGCCGAGCCCTGCAGCAGGAGGCCGGGGTGCTGAGGCTCAGCGTGTGGCTCCCCAGAGCAGTTTTGGTGCAGACTGGAGCTCACGGGTTCCCGTTCATRCCGGGGAACGGGTTGGTCGTGGCACCATCGCAGGGTGGGCAACGAGGGGGCAGCACTCGGGCCTTTYCTATTTATACACTGTGCTATTGGACCGACTCTGCTGGCTGTAGCAGAGCGCCCGCTCGGTGCCACGTCCCGCGGGGGCCGGTGTCCCCCCTGGGGACCCTGCAGGTGCAGGTAGCCCCGGGCTGTCCCCACCGTGTGCACCCCAGTGTGTCACCGTCACCGCCACCTCTTCCCGCAGGTGAACAGCCAGCTGCTCTCCCCTCCCATACAGTGGATGGACCTGAATCCGCCCGGCCTCAGGGAAGCGGAATGATCCAGCCTCCAGGAATGATCCGAGGCTGCGTCTGGAGCCGGTGCCTCCCGGTGTCTCTGCCCCTTGCAGACCTCCGGATGCCTCCAGATCCACGGAGCTCAGCAGTTGCTGCGGCTGGTTGATGTCCCCAGTTTTGGGACCGGTCCCTTCAGTGGGGGCTGTGGCAGCTCCATCCGTGTGGCTGCTCCCAGCCTTATCCCTGACCCTGATCCAGCCCTTCCCTCTTAAACAGGACACTCAAGACTTAATTAGAAGGATTTGGCTGTTTACTGATTAAGCAGAACCTCTAAGCTACCGACAACACCTTAATGGGCTGACCAACACAGCCCATTAAACGCACTGACCCTGTCACCCAGGCAATCCCAGCCCCAAGTGGTGTCACCCRTCACCCCGGGGCGCTGCCTCCTTCAGTTCATATTGGTGCCGCTTGGTGATTTTCACGTTTCCTGCCTGGATTTATCTCCCTTCAGCCTTGACTCCCCTGCCTGTCCCTGCCCAAACACAGGCCGTTCCCACCCCGCGCGCAGAGCAGAGCAGGATAACACCTCGGCTCACCCGTATCCGTGCCCTTGAAGCCCTGTCATCCCCCTCCCGCTTCCCACCAGGGCCCGCCTGGAGGCCCCATGGGATCCCCTGCCCTCCAGTCACTCCTTGGGCTCGGACTCCCAAGCCCAAAGGCCTTCCAAGGCTGGATATGGATTTGGCTCCTTCTCCTGTCTTGATTTATCCCAGCTTTTCCTGCTCTTTCCCAGTAACATTTCTGTCTTCCGTGGGCSATCATCTCCTGCTACTTCCCTGGCCATGCCATGAACTTGCAAGAATTTCCCTGTCGCTCCTCTGGGGACACATTTCTGCCCCCTCGCAGCTCTCCTTTCTGAGCTCCTCTTTCCTCACTCTGTGTCCCCATCCTCTTAGCTCTTTTCCTGATTCTGCTCCTTATTCCCCACTTTTTCTTAACCCGAACCCACCTCCTCGAGGGCACGGGGCCCTTCTGCTCCCAAGGAGGGTTATTTAGACAGTCACCTAGAGGAAGGGGGCCTGGCGGGATCCTCCTGCTGCTGCTTCAGTTAGTGCTGGTGCCCACTGAGGGATGTGGGGCCCCTTCCCCACGGCCTGGGGGTCAGAGGGGCCCTATTTCTGCACCATCAAAGCCAGGAATGTCCCCGGAGCAGAAATGCAAGCAAGGAGCGACAGGAGGAGCTGGGAGATGGGAAGGGCACCCGRGCAGSGCRGGTGGGAGACGGGGACAGGGCCGCMCTCCGGAGCAGGTACCACCRGGCACCAAAAAGCCCCCTGGGACRAGACGGGTCCCGGTGCCGACCCACATCCCAGCAGCTCCTCCTGGGACCGCCACACTCAGGGGGTTGGGTGCTTTGGGATCCCCATTCCGGACGCAGTACAGATCCAGGGAAAGGGGGCTCCCCTCGTGGCAGAGGGAGGCGAGAAGGGGGGTTCGAGCAGCCCCCAGCCCGGGGGACATCGGAAGAGACCTCAACCCCCCCGGCCCCCCTGCGCGGGCCGGCCCGGCCTGGGGGCAGCAGCAGGGCCGGGGGTCCCGGGGAGGGGGCGGGCCCCGCGTCCCCGGGGGG